ATTGGACCATTACTATGAATGTATGGGGATCGAGGCCAACGGGCGACGGCATTGGAGCATCGAAGGGCTGAGGGGTTGTGGGTCCTACGGGGTTATCCCCCTTCGTTTTGTTTGGGAGCCTGTAGCAGGCCACTAGGCAGGACCAAGGGAATGCCTATAGGTCAGGCCCCCATTTACGGCGTTAGTTTCTGTTTTTTTGTTTCTATATATATATTTTTTTAATATTTATCTGGTATTCTTGCCTTGCCTGTTTATTGGTTGACAGGCGTATCGAAGGTCGCAGCAGCAGCAACCTCGAAGGTCAAGGTCATAGCTGCAACAGTCCACAAAGGTCAAAATCGTAGGTGCTGCAATACCGAAAGGCCGAAATAGGTTGTCAGGGGACCGCCCAGAGCCCACAGCTGGGCTAAGGTTAGGGGGCCGGCAGTTAAATCAGCCCGTGCGAGATTCGGGGGTGTCTAGTCCCGGTCCCTCAAGTCCAGTTAGGGAGTACCCTAGGGGACTGGGCACGCTGAGGCTTAAGCACGAGGCCAGACCAACTAGCTGCAGAAGTATAAATCAAGGGGCAGCAAGCAGTCAGTCACTGATACCTGCGTAAGCCATGCGGGAGCGTCTGGCTAAGTGACGAGGGCAGCGGGAGGGGGGGCGTGTCCAGTAGAGTGAATCCGGACGGGAGGTTGTGCGGGGTGCGAGTAGAATACTAGCGGGGACGCTGGCCGGAGACACGAGGCGGGGTGCCATAGAGTAGTGTGGGGGCAGCTGCGGGGTTGAAGACCTACCTGTTGACGAGCTTCTGGTGCGCTGCACACCAGGACGGAGCGCGCTGCGTTGCTATTCCGCTGCGCTGAGGCAGCGAGCGGGCGAAGCGAACGAAGCAGAGGGCGAATGAACGTGGGTGCCATGCGCCAGGTGCATTGGGAGGCTGCATATGGGAGAGCAGCGAGCTATGGCGGACAGAGAAGGTGATGTCTCACCCGATTCTGAATGAATTCGGGCGAGGGAAGATCCCAGACGGGGGTTATTGGTAAGGGTGAATCCGAATACGCAGCCAGATTGGGTAGAGAGTTAGTAAGTTTGGAGTTAGTAGGAAAGACCACTGCGCGGAGGTGTCGGGCGGGGGGATATGGCCGCACGGGAAGACAAAGATCTCGCTTGGTTCTCGATGAAATCGAGCGGGTGAAGATCCGTTTCGGAGGTTTTCTGGACTTGCAACCCCGAATCTGTGATCAGATATGGGAAAAATTTAGTGGAAGAAGAGATAGAAGAAGGAAGTGGTGCGCGGAGGAGACCGGAGAAGCGACGAGGAGGAAGTGAATGAAGATGCTAATCTGGGGTTTCGAGAGGCTCTGAATCAGATGGTCGCGGCAGAATTTTTACTTGAGCCGTGGTTTAATCGGTATGGGCAGCGGGAGCTGCGCCCAAGAGTAAAAGGTTTTTTTGATATAAATATGTAATGTATTTTTCCGGGTTGTAGCGAAAGATTCATTCTCGTTTGCTTGATCTGGTGGGCAGCAGGGCGGGAGTAAGTGGGCACGAGCATATTTACTTGGTCGGGGCGCATCTGGCTCATGTTCTAGCGGAAGATTCCTCCCATCCTCCCCACCTGCCGGTGCGGCCTTGGGGATGTCCGCTTTCGTGTCGGCTCATCGTGGTCCCAGGCGAGATCTGCATGGTCACCAACGCGGTCACGGTGTTGCTCATCGTCATTGTGTTCATTGTTCGCTGCCCGCGCACTGTTGTTAGTCTCGTTCGTAGTCGTCACCCGCCGATGTTTCCCCCCCCCTGACTTCGAGCAAGCCTAGCCATGCTGACAACTAGGTGCCTTCGTGTATCAAGAGAGAGAGAGAGAGGGACAGATTTGCCTACCTGTTTCTGTGGCCACGGATGGTAGTATTGTTGTCATACCTATCGAGTATCCATGAATCTGGTCGCATTATCAGCCGCAAGCATTAAAGAATGGAAGATGGTGACATAGCGAAGGTAGACTGAGCAACGTACGAAGAGTAAAAGACTAGGAAGAGGGAGCGTTGGAAGGGTGAGAAGAGTCAAGGGAACACGTACCTGGTCCTCCCCTAGGCGGGGGGCTCATTCTCATTTTGCCCGTTAAACGGGCGCAGCAGCAGAAGGCACCATCGGGGTAGTGCACCTGTCCCCATTCTAAGCGGAAGGTTCACCCTATTTCGCTAATCCTATCGACAGAAGTAGCCTTTCTAGCTCTCAGCGCGGACAGCCTGACAACAGTTTATGTTTCCACGGTCCAGCGGTAGATTCAACCGAATTTGCCCACTCTGTCGACGAAAGACTCGAAAGTCGAGTGACGTGAGCTGCGGGTAGGAGGCACCTGTTGACAGTATGCGGTCTATCCTGCTGACTGGAGGAGTGACGAGCGGACGGCAGAGAGGAGTCTTACCTGTTGGACGGGGCGCATTCATTCCACTAAGTCGGAGTAGCGAGCCACGAGACGGTAGACCTGCCTGCTGGCCATGTGATGCTATCCCATTAGAACAGGGAAGAAAGGAAACAACCGCAGACCTAGAGACTCACCTACTCGTCGATGTAGAGCTCAGCGCGTCAAGTGAAGCTGCAGCAGGGCCGTCGCAGAGACTGCAGATCTGTCTGCTAGTCGGTATACATCTCGTCCATCAGCCTGTGTAGCAACAGACCAGCCACGAAAGTGCAAACTTACCTGCTAACCAAAGCGCTGCCTATGCGACCAAGCTGAGTGACTGCAGACAAGCCACGAGATTTGGAGGCTCATTTGCTGACTGTTACACTGCCATCTCGTGGGGTGGAGCGGCCTGAGCCCGGCCGTGAGGTTTATCTGCCAATTTGTGTAGTGCCGAGTCCTTGAACGAAGAGCAGAGAGAGGCAAGTTACTAGACAGCAGGCTCACTCGACAGTTGGCAACGTCACTTGCTGACGAACAGAGCAGCAGCAGGCCAGCTACAGGGTGTCGACGTGGTGGTCAGCTGGTGCGGTCACTGCGGTGCCATTACTGCAACGTGAGGAGAAGCCCGATGGTGTGTTGAGCCTGCCGCAGCGCCATCACCCCTCGCTGCCCTTCGTGCTAGCTTGCCCCGGCGCCCTACAACTGTTGATAATGGCTGTGATCGCCGTGCGCGGTATGAGGACATATTAAAGACTAGTATCGTACGCTGCTACAACGAGTGATGTCNAATGGCTGTGATCGCCGTGCGCGGTATGAGGACATATTAAAGACTAGTATCGTACGCTGCTACAACGAGTGATGTCGTGTTGAGATTCTGCGAAGTTTGCCTGCGTTTCAGAGTGCAGTGTAGCAGTGATTAATCCTAGGAGGGGTGCTGGGACTTAGAGGAGGATTAGGCTTGAGGTGAGGGGCTATTGCTGCAAATCAGGAGGTTGTCAAAGGATTGACTTCAATACACCGATTTCAAGAGTTGACCAAGCTGTTGCCCGTGGCCATCATTGCGGGGCCCTCAGGCGAATGAAGGTATCAAGGCCCTCTCCTGGGAGTTGAGTTGTCCTCTTCTTGTATCTTGAGAGTCTGAAACCCCTATCTTCTGCCTTTCTTACTCTAAGTCTAATCCAGTTTTGAGAGGAAGGCGGCAGGCGGGATTGCAACTCGTAGGACCGCAACAAGACTCTGTGGGGAGCCAGCCCACCGATTGCGGGAGCTCTGCCGGACAGTGCCGTACCCCCGTTCACCGTTCACGGGGGTTGTGAACTGAGACCGGTCACCGTTCATGAAAATTGTGAACGCCGGTAGTTCACGGAGTTCACGGTGAGCGGGAACTCCGTTTTTTTTTTTTTTTTGGCTGGTAGGGGTACTTTTTTTTTTTGTAGGCGTGTGGGGACTATCTAGGGGCACCTGCCCATTTTTTTTATTTTATTTTTTTCGATCGGATTTTTTTTATTTGTTTTTTGAAAAAACAAAAATAAAACAACAAATAATAATAATTAAAAAAAAAAAGGGGGGGGCATTTTCACGGAGAGAGGGATGAGGCCCCCGGGCTCCGGTCGTTGTTTCGGTGGTGCAATAAAGCACCGACCACGGCCGCCATTCTGCAGAGAGAGAGAGAGAGAG